GGATACCTATACTCTAATCAATCATATTAAATGTCATTCGTAAAATGTATTTTTTAAGACAGATTTATTTAGGATCGACTTTTTATATGATAACATGAATAGCACGCCATACTTTCACCACATGTCAAAACATTCTCTCAAATTACACAGAAATGGGTTATTTAGCATAGCTGACATTAAACATATAGGTGAGCGATAACATAATCACAATCATAAACAATGTGAAACAACTTTAAAGGACCTACACTGTGGATTACAAGCCTTTTTCACTGGGGTAAAATCTTTGCCGAAATTCGCCATGGCTGCCCGAAACCCCGAACCCGACTGTATAAAAGATGAAGTCATACAATAACATAACACTGATGTAGTATTACATGATTTTTTTTTATTTTATTTCTTAAAAACTATAAGGGGGGTTTACCAAAAAAAAATTAATAAGAAAAAAAAATTTAAAGTTATTTTAAAAAGAAATTCTAAGTTTTTTTTAAAAAGTGACCTGGTGTTATAACTTGACAGACATAACACACACATGTTTTTTGTATTGTGTGTTATTTGTTATTGTCTTTCAGTAAAAAAATTCAGTTCAAACTGGTTAGGCTGGCTAGACTAGGCTGTCTAGACTGTAAATGAAAAAGTGTGACGTGATAATCACATTGTATTTATACAGTGGATGACGTCACAATGCATAGGTAAGTTTATCGTACTTTTTGCACACGGCACTTTACAGAGGGTGCAAACAGGTATATAAGAAAACACAGGTAAAATGTATATTTCTTTTGCACACGACCCTCAGGGCAGCGAGCCAAGTTTGTTTAGAGCCGTGTGCAAAAAAAAAAAAAAAATACACCAAAGCTAGCTTCTGAATATCTGTGTCATTTTTAGGGGGTTGTAGAAATTAAAAATAAAGGATCCAATGTATAATAACCAGACATAACAACTGTCTTCAATTTGAATATGATAAATAAACAGAAACCCAAGATATTACATAATAATATTTAAATAAACACCCTTGGACATTGTACATTTGATTAATATTTTAATTCTTTCCTAAGAATTTACAACTAATTTTTATAAAGTCTATAAGTTATCACACAATTTTGAAGTTATTGCATTAAATGATTCATATCAGTAATCTCAGGAACTAACTTTTACTCAGGAGTAAATGATCCAAAAATCTATAGAAAATCTCCTATTCATTTTTTACTAATGATGTGAAGTTTGTATGTTACAAATTATTTTCAAATGTAGTCATCTCAATAATCTCATGCTTTGACCATGACAAATTATCCTATAAAACTATGTGTATTACTATAACCTGATATGTGTAGTAAGCATATGAAGTGTATGAGATGATAAATAATATTCAAGATATTATTCCATCACAGATTATTGGGCACCTACATCTTGATGTGGGATATTAAGGGACCTTTACATATTTCAATTTCTAAATTTCATTATAGGCCACAATACACACATATACACAAATAAAATATATTTACATTTCCAGGAAAGTAATAATTACATTAAATATAGCATCTGGATATCTATGTAATTTCTAAGGGGTTATAGAAATAAGATGAAAAATAAAAGGTTTAAATGTATACTTCTCATACATAACAACAGTCTTCAATAGAAATTGGTAAAAAAATAAAAGTCACATTCAGATACTTTGAAGATGGTGAGAATAAATTCATGCTTTCAGAATTTGATTCATGCTTTCAGAAAATCATGTTCTGAATTTGTACTTATTAAATGTATATGCATATAAAGATTTGATTGCTTATTCTTCATTATGTGTTTAGAAGATTTTTTTATATGGAATTTTTATCACACTGTAATGATGATTTTATAACCTTATAAATTTTTAATTTCACATGCTGAATACTATCATAGTCAGTGTCTGACAGTAAAATGATACAATCCTGTATATATTCTTTGTCATCCTGTAAACCACAGTCTATGATCGTACTGGTTAAAAATTCATGTAATACTATAAATACTAATAAAACAAACGGGGCGGGGCATTTTGGAAATTATATTTAAAATCTCTGTTCTTCTTAAATCCTCACACAGACCACCTCCTGTTTGATTTTCTTCATTAGTTTCATTGTTCCAAGAGAGGATATTCTGTTAGTCTTTGCATAATCTGATAGTCTTTCACCATTCTGAGAGTAGACATAGATCATTTCCATAAGCCCTCACTAGAGAATCCTGAAAAATAATAAAAAATAATATCTTAGTTAAAATTTTTTTCAATGTAATATAAGCTTGATGGAATTCTAAATATAGACCAAAAAAAAGTATAAAATAGTAAACATTTGTATAAACAGACCTCAGTTGTGAACTGGCTTCATTATGGGGAACAGCTTCAGCAAAGAAATGAGTAAAAACTCTAGATTAGAGGAAAGTGAATGGTTACTTAAACAGGAGGGAGGAAAAGATATCATACCACCTCCCTTGATGGTAGAACATCCTGTAGAATTTATACCACCTCCCTTGATGGAAGAAGAAGCCAATGAGGAATATAACCTTTTATTACCCATAGAAGGTAAGAATTACTTGGATTACCCTGAAAGACCTTTGACTAGAGAAGAAGAAGTCAAGTTTATAGATGATAAGAGAAAACAGTTGTCAGTAAAAAAATGTTGTTAAAGACACATGAATTTTAGCCCACAAAACCATTGGAGAAGATACAAGGATTAATGGAGGGAGTCCAAACTGAACTCTTGGAAGACATTAAGGCTCATTATGAGAGTAACTTTCCAGTGTTTGTTTATTACAAAATTATGTATTCTGATTAAAAAAAAGAAAAAAAAGTTTTCACTTTTATTTGTTGTGCCTTTGACCATTTAAATTGACCTTATGGTCAAGATTGTGATATATACACTCTGATAATCATCTATGATGTCTCTAGGATGTTTACCTCAAAAGATTGAATCAGGGTATTTGTGTTCAAAGAGATGAAGAAACTTAATACAGACAGATCTAAGATTTTGGAAGCATACATATTAATGAGGTTAAAGGAGATATAACACTTGGATTCATTACTACATTATTAAAAAGAAAGAACACAAACTCATAGAAATGATATTGAAAGTACCTTTTATGAATAAAGTGTCATGCTCCAAGGTATTATTTTTATAAACAGGATAAGGTTTACAACAGTCCCATACACTCATAAGAAGATCTTGGGTAGTAGAAACACCAGGAAATTTTATTTCCACACAATCAGATCATCTTACATCAGTTATAAGGTTACAATCTTTATACATAGTCAAGAGGGTCATTAAGATTTCTTTTCTGGTCATCCTGATGTGCTACATTATAGTATTCTTTCCCTGTGATATAATGTTAATATTAAATGGAAAATTCAGAATTCACCAGCAATTGAAGTGAAAACTTGCTATCTTTACCAACTATGATATTAAGGAAACTGGGGGGGGGGGGGGTTAACAAATTAGCGATATTTAACTTATTCTATAGATATGCTATCTTCAGCTGTTAACTATCATTTGGCAAAGAAAACTTTCATACATTTTAGTTTCAAACTTTGATCATGCATTTTTGTATATATATTGAAATGGAGCTCTTCTTCTTCTTCTAAAAGGAGATCAATATAGTCTAAAAATGACCATGACCACCAAGCCCTTTTTATTTAAATATATCATTTACATATCAATTCAAAATTATAAACATGCACATGTAAAAAAAATAAATAAAATAATAAATAAATAAATATATATTACAATTGTATCTCATTGAAACTTTACCTTCAAGTTTGTGTGTTTCTATGTTGGTTGACTAACTGTGTATTTCCAAAGGAAGAGCAGACAGTCTGAACTTCATAGAGAATGGATTATAGATGGTTAGGAACAATACATATCTTCCAGGTTGAGGACTGTAGAAATAAAACCATTTTGTTAATATGACAGAGTACTGTGTGAAACAATGCATGTTTAAAAATTGAACAAACATGTACAATGCCAAAAAAGTTCATGAAAATGTTTGTTTTTAATCTCAAAACAAATTGTTTTTAACATTAACTCCAGATGAGACAAGTTCATCATGTTATCTTTAGATAATAAAAAAAGCACAATTACTGTATCAATATTACAAATAAAATGATTATCAAATTAATTATTTAGACACTAAAAGACTTTTTATTAACAGCAGATTCAATTTTGGTTTAATATCTGTCAGTACTGCATACAGAAAAATACATCTTTTTTAGCATCATCACAGTACAACATGTAGTCCTTAATTTTTTGAAAAGCTCATTACCAAGAAACAAAAGTGAAAATGAAAATATATGTATACCATATATCACACATATTTAGAATCAAAACAAAAAGTAAATAACTTAGAATTAAATCTTTTGTAAATTCCTCCTTTTCTCTTATTAGATTCCTAATTAATATCTCTTTGATCACCATTTAGTAAGTCTGAATTCCATGGCCATGGGTAACATACATAATGAATTATGAAATTAAATCATATAATTTATACAAAAGGACTTATTAATATTCTGAAGATCCCTTAATCATGTGTTAATATATTTTAGACAAAATAAGACTGTGCTTATATGAATGTAAGTTAGAGACAACAGATCACATAAGTATTACACAGTAATTAAATTAACCATATAATCATGCTTAAATGCAAAGATGACCTTCATAGGAAAAGTATAAACAATTAAAAAAAACAAGACAAACTTACCAGAGATATTCAACTATATGCCCAATTAGCCTATGCATTAAATAATCCAGTGATTGATTACATCTCAGCTGATCCTGAAAAAAAAAATCATACAATTCAGTGATACACAATTAACCTCATTTTACAATGTAAGTAAAGTAATAATTTACAGACAAAAGGGATAGAAATGTAAAAGATACCATGTATTTTACTAAAATTTAGTGAATATTTTTCTGATTTAAATTCAATCATAGAATGACCCATCATAGAAATATTAAATGTACTCTGAGTTACATGCAGGTTATACATGTACAAGTGTAAATCACATGAAATGAGGATAAATACAGTACATTTACATTCAAAACAGAACTTTACATAATCATGATTAAATGCAAAGATATGTCCATCATAGGAAATGTAAAAAAACAAAGACAAACTTACCAGAATTATCCAATTATATGCCCAATTAAATAATCCAGTGAAACAACATCTTAGCTGATCCTGAAAAAAAAGCATACAATATTCAGTGATACTCAATTTAATCTCATTTTACAAAGGAAGTAAAGCAACAATTGACAGACAAACAGGACAGAAAACATGTTTAAATGTAATGTGATAGTATTGATTTTATATTGATTTTAATTTATTGTATTTTTCTTTCAGATGCCATTGAAAGTTATAAAATAACTTTCAATAATAAACTTGATTTAAAATAAATATGTTTTATATAAACATTAAACAAGTAATAAATAAATTTGTAACAACTTTCTATAATTAAAGTCTAGAAATCTCTAGAGCCCTAAACTTAAAACTTAACTTTTAACCTTGAATAAATACATAAGTAAAAATAGCCATTGGTCAATAATTTCCCGCCAAAACCTTTGACCCCCTTTGTCCAGTGTGTCCAGCTAATTACTAGCCCAGGAGCAGTCAATGTGTATAGTTGTGTTTTTGTATTTTTGGAGAAATCTTTAAGACCACTGACAGTAAGTTGACTTTTTGACATTCCTATTTCATATTAATATTTTCCTATTAATTACTGAATGAAAGAGGCATATGAGAGATTTATTAAATTATTTAAGTTTGTCAAAAGCTGATGAACTAGTTGATTTTAAACTTTGTAATGAATGTATTTTATGACACAAAGAATATGATATATAGTGTATGGATGTTATTTATAAATTGTAGATATTGATAATCCATATAAGCCATACACACAAATCATGTATTAGAGAGGGATTCATACCCATAGTCTGGTATGTTGCTATATGTACATAAAGCAAGTATATAATTGGAAATAGTCATTATATCCACTATTATGAAGTGAATAAGAGTAATATCATTTGTATATTTAAAGTCAAGAGGTATAACTCATTGATATGTGTCAATATTTAATATTTTATAATCTAATTAATTATATAGTAATTATTTGATTTATGATGACAATAGATTCTGCTGTTATATGTGATATTAACTTGAGTAAATGTATTTTATGTTATTTTGCAGAATCTGGTATATGGTATATGATGATTTATTTTATACAACTGTATTAAACATCATCAACAGTGAATCAGAATCTTTTCATTATTGCTGCTCCCGCTACAGTAATGCAAAATAATATCTCTTATATATGGATACCTATACTCTAATCAATCATATTAAATGTCATTCGTAAAATGTATTTTTTAAGACAGATTTATTTAGGATCGACTTTTTATATGATAACATGAATAGCACGCCATACTTTAACCACATGTCAAAACATTCTCTCAAATTACACAGAAATGGGTTATTTAGCATAGCTGACATTAAACATATAGGTGAGTGATAACATAATCACAATCATAAACAATGTGAAACAACTTTAAAGGACCTACACTGTGGATTACAAGCCTTTTTCACTGGGGTAAAATCTTTGCCGAAATTCGCCATGGCTGCCCGAAACCCCGAACCCGACTGTATAAAAGATGAAGTCATACAATAACATAACACTGATGTAGTATTACATGATTTTTTTTTATTTTATTTCTTAGAAACTATAAGGGGAGTTTTTTAAAAAAGTGACCTGGTGTTATAACTTGACAGACATAACACACACACATGTTTTTTTTTTGTATTGTGTGTTATTTGTTATTGTCTTTCAGTAAAAAATTCAGTTCAAACTGGTTAGGCTGGCTAGACTATAGGCTGTCTAGACTGTAAATGAAAAAGTGTGACGTCATAATCACATTGTATTTATACAGTGAATGACGTCACAATGCATAGGTAAGTTTTTGCACACGGCACTTTACAGAGGGTGCAAACAGGTATATAAGAAAACACAGGTAAAAGGTATATTTCTTTTGCACACGACCCTCAGTTTTTTTGCACACGGTTCTAAACAAACTTGGCTCGCTGCCAAGTATTTACCTGTGTAGTCAGCATATTTTTTGCACACGGCCCCTTTACAGGTGATGCAAACAGGTATATATAAGAAAACGCAGGTAAAACGTATTTTTGCACACGGCCCTAAAATAAATCCATGCTATATATAAACCAGCGCTGGACATTGAGGATCATTCTGTGTGAGTACTTGGAATTGGACACAGGTAAAAAATGGAGCAGACAAAAAATATGACAGAGGAAATGGAGTATTGTTGGTCTATTAACGGAGAACGTTTTGGAGAATGGATGAAAATTAAAGAAGAAGCCATCCAGGATTTTTATAAACGCAACAGAAATTATTTAAAATGGCCACCGAATTTAAAGTACAAAAAATTTTGGTTGGTAAAAAGAGTGGAATTGGATCCTGAAGATTATGAAAAAAATCATGACACCAGAGAGGAAAAATACTGTCTGAAGGAGAGAAAAAATGGATATGATGGTTATCAAAAATACCAATTGAAGATCATGAGTGAACCTTATACAATACTGGAGAAGAGTTCCTGGAAAATTCAACTTGGATTGTGTTTTTATGAATTGATAGAAAAGAGGTTTCGGAAAGAAAACAGCCTTCAAGGACTTTTTACAGATAGGCCTATTTATAAAGTGTATGTATATTGTCGCATCCCTTTATCGCCTGAAGAAAAACAATCTAAAGAAAAAGGAGAGGGAAAAAATTAAGAAGACAGTGTATAATTGTATTTTCATTCTGAATAAAATTGAAAAATCAAAATCTGTGTGTTCTTGTCTTTCAGTAAAACCAGTTCAAACCGGTTAGAGGACTGTCTAGACTGTGAAGCGTGACGTCATAATCACATTCTTGTAATGTTTTTTGCACACGGCGCATTTTTACCTGTATAGTCAGCATAAAAACAAAAAACGTAGTACCAACGTACCAATGTAAACACACCCCGTATTTAAGGGAATAGGATAGGGTTTTTAAAAAGGGGTTAGGGTTAGTTAGGGTTAGGGTTAGGGGTTAGGGTTAGTTAGGGGTTAGGGTTAGGGTTAGGGTTAGGGGGTTAGGGTTAGGGTTAGTTAGGGTTAAGGGGCTAGGGTTAGGGTTAGGGGGCTAGGGTTAGTTAGGGTTAGCACTGCACTCAGTTGACCCCCCTTTCCCCTCAACCAATCAAATCACGTGATTTTCTCTCAGCCAATCAGAATCTTCCGCGCTAGCGGGACTCCTTATATACTGAAAGGAAAAAGAAACGCAGGGTAAACTTTTGAGGTGAATTAAATTTATTTTTCTTTCAATTTTTTTCAGTATTTCTATCTAACTTTTAAAATCATCTTTTAAAAAGATATAACCAAAATTTCATTTGATTTTGTTTAATAATTCTTAAGTTATTGAAGCTCATATGACGATATCCCCCAAAAGTGAAAATCGAAAACACTCATTATCTTCAATGTCTCTCCTGCACATCTGTCATGAGCGTTATTTCTCCTTTAAATGGAATTCATCAGAATGATTATCTTTTAAACAATGGCTATATTGGGCATCGGTAACCACGCCAAAAAATTAGTCATGCAACGCGCGCATGCGCGAGTGAGAGGATCACAACATTAAGTTGACACGCTCAAAAAACCAAATTGCAGAATTGTTCTCTTTTATTTTTTGTGTGGATGTAATGACTATTATAATCTACTGTATAAAAGGCGGATTTTGTGGTAGTAGGGTTGCGATTTAAGAGGTGGCAGGACGAATAACCCGCTCGTAATATGACTCTGTTACGCGTTAACGTCATCGTCACGGTTGATTGAAAACCATTCCAGGCCCTCTCTGACAAAGGGTAACAAGTTTTATGGGGGAAAATTTACAAGAAACTGCTTAGTTACCCGTTTTTGCCTTTTTCATTAATTAGGGAATTCGAAAATCAGACCCCACTGAACTTCCGAAAACTGTACCAAGATTGCAAGAAATTCATATCGTCTCTAAATATTGAAAAACAATGTGTATACCTCAGGTGCATCAAATGATGCAACAAGATTTGTTGACAAACTCGCCGTTATCAAATTGCACGTGTTTTGGGCTTTTAACCGTTTTCCCTACATGACGTCATACATTTTACGGTTGAGTAATTCTGAACACTGATTTTGGTGCATAATAACTAAATTTCTCATCTGACCAATTTTCGTAATTTTCGGTCATGCGGTCAAAAAGTTTTCGAATATTATGCTACCCTGCGTTTCTTTTTCCTTTCAGTATATACTACTCATGTAACTGAAATCGCTCTCCCATTTGATCCTGTAATTTTCCTTAAACTGAATTATAACTAATAATAATTGAAATGCCTAGGGTAATTAACACCACGTATCTATGCTGCGATTGTTAAATCTATGAAATTAATTTTAGTGAATCAATATGCATCTATTAGAAAAAAAAATTATAGGGCCCGTTTTACAAAAGAACTTACATCCAAAATTTAATTCTGCGATTTTATTCTTCTTGAAAAGAATTTAGAATATTTCTATGGTAACAATTTCCAAAACAGTTAATTTTCAAAAAAATTATAATCACATAAGTTTTTGGTTTTAGTCATAAGTTATTTTGTAAAACGGGCCCCAGAGGTTCAGGCAACAATTAGCCAGAGTAAAGAAAAAAAAGCTGTATAAACTTCTTTTAAAACAAAATAAAAACTGTCAATGATAACACAATAGTAAATTGATGAGATTTAACCTAAAAACTAAAAAAGGGGGTGTCGAAATGATATTGCAGACTTTTTTCATGGACGTTGTTAATTTCTAATGATACAAACACCGAAACAGTTTTCGCATTTGCAATGCGACTTCACTTCCCGCCATTTTTTCCACCTGTTACTCCAGGTAAACTGAGGAGTATACTCGCGTAACACGAGTTGGTCACCCGTGTCGAAGATAGGTTGTTTTATTTACAACTCTAGTGACTCGTGTAACTCGTGTCGCTTAATCGAATATACCCATAGATGTGCTATGCTAACTACAATAAACATGATAAATCATAATTATGTACAAATTCGTTGCAATGCGTGTTTTACATAAGCGGGAACTCTATACATAGCTCTTTCTTATTTAAAAATCTTCATTTCAGTGTAACTCATGTTGCTTGTGGCGGAAAGTGTAGTGTCCTAAAACATTACGACGAATATTCCTTTCTCGTTTCTAAAGAAATGGGGCGTGTCGTTATGTTATAATTGACGTTCAAAACATGACTCAGAACGTTTCGTTCAAGTGGAAAATTTTACCACTTCAATGCGCTTCATTGTATATAAAGAAATTGACGAAAAATCAATGTAGTGTCCGGGGTGTATGCAAGATGTTGTACGCGGGGTGTATACCCCTCTTTTTACTCTATAGTATCATTGTCTGAAATGTCATTAAAAAAATCGTTAACAATTGACTTTTG